TAAGAAAGGGGAGGCAGAGAGAAGGGAGGACACAAGAAAGGGGGCAAGGAAGAGAACAGGCAACAGAGGAAAGAAGGGAGAGTCAAAGAGAGAAAGAGAGAGAAAGAAGGGTAGAGAAAGGGGAAAGGAGAGAGACAAGCAGAGGGATGGATGCAGAGACAGGGGAAGGGATGGAGCAAAAGGCACAGCCCCGGCCCTCTCCCTGCCTCCATTTCAGCAAGGTGGCTTCATCCTGGACTCTCCCAGCCCCCTCCTTGCCTGGGTGTTGGAGAGGCCTAACCGACTCCTATGAGCTGGTATTCAGGGCTCTGGTGAGGGCAGGCACAAGGCAGATTAGTGTCACCGCGCTGCTGAGCCGAGAGGAAACGCGTCCCCGTGCAGCCCCCGGCCGAGCCGTCATCTGGGCAGGCCACCACGAGCCTGGCTGGAGCAGCAGAGACGAGCACAGGAGTGGAAGGAGCCAAGCCAGAGGGACTGGGAACGGTGGCAAGGCAAGGGCCACGTCACCCTGCTCTTACACAGACACCTCCCCTCTGCACCACGTCCCTCCCTAGCCCCAGAGCCAGGGCCCCAAGCTCAGCTCCAGCCCAGGGAGGCAGCTCCCAAGGTCACGCCAGCGGTCGGCGGCGGAGCCACACGCAGAACCCAGGCGTCCGGCTCCCAAGCCGGGGCCCTGAGCAAGGTAATTTGCCTGCTTTGCCTCATTAGGCTGTCAGCTCCGGGGACCACGTCTTATCCTGTGGCTGCACAGCGCCTAGCAACGCAGCTCCACAGCATCAGGCAGCATCAAGCATTCGCCTGTCACACGGAAAGAGCAGCTCTGCTCAGCTCAGGCCCAAAGACATCCCCACACCCCGGCAGGCATGCAGCCTAGCTGCCTCCCGACTGCCCAAATAACCTTGTTTTTTCCAAGCTGCCTGTCAAGTGTGGAGAGGTCATGGCCCCCCGCGACTGCTCCCCCCCCACTCTCGTCCCGCTGCAACCCCTTGGTTTAGCATTAGCTGTCATTAGCGCTGGCAGCTCCGCAGGTCCCGGCTCCTGGACAGACCCTTACGTGAGTGACAAGCAGGAGAGCTGCCTGGCCATGTCCACAGAGAAGGGCACCTGATCCAGGGCCGGGGGCATTGCAAATGCAAGCCCAAGGATGTTCGGTGCCAATCGGGTCAGGACAGGGAAAGGGAAATAGCTTGTTTCTCCGCTGCCTGTGGCTGGGGTGGACGGTGCTATGCTGCTGCTATTTTTGCACCCCTTTTACAGGTGAGAAGCTTCTTCCTCTAAACGCTGGGTGCTGCAGCGAGAGTCCTTGCCCTGAAGAGCCTTGGATCAAAGCCAGTATAGCCTCGGCTACAATGCCCAGGAGATGGGGCTGCCCGAGGTGCCAATCACACCAAGGCTGACTTGCCAGAGCTACCCTGGGGAACAGAGCCTGCTGGCCTGCATCCCTTAGGTCATGCTCAGGGATGGGTGCCCAGGCTGCTGGGCCTTCACTGGGCATCTCTACCCCTCCCCTGCTTAGAGCAGGGATTTGAGCTTGCTCTGGGCTTTAAGCACCTGCTCTGAGTCAGTAGGATTAAAGTGCAGAGAGCTCCTGTTTCCAGAGAGCACTGGGGCCTGCGTCTGCACAGAGCCCCTCAGCTCCCTGCGTGGGTCCCAGCACTGGGGGGCTGTGTACCCCACCCAGCTTGCCTTCCCCACCCCCCAGGTGATTAAGCCATAACAAGATTGGGTGCTAATCACCTCCTGCCCTTTGGAGTCCAGGGCTGGCACATGCAGCTGTCCACCACCATGTGAGACGGCTGAGCCCCCTGGTGCGGTGTCTCCTGGTGTCCCTCTATGCCCATGCCCGAGAGCTGTCCCGGGTCACGTTGCCAGGTCTCCAGGAGCTCCGGCCTGCTCCACGGAAACTCAAATTACTTCAGGCTCAGCACAGGGGTTATCCACCAGCTCCTCCTCCTGCTGACAGCTGGGGGAGGGAGGGCCATGTAGACCTGCCACGCTGCAGGGATGATTTGGCTGCTCCAAACTTCAGCTCCCAGGATCTTAAGTGCTGGACGTCCTGACAGAGAGCAGGCATTGGATTCTTCTGGGCAGTTTGGCTAATAAGAGCCTGTCTGCCCAAAGGGCATCCTAGTCTGGCTTTTGGGAGAGCCACTGCCACTGGCTTCTGAGAATCCACTGAGATGGGCATGGGAGGGAAGGATGGAGGGACAGACAGACAGAGATGCACATAGGGGACTGCTTAACAGATGCTACAGCTGCATGCCTGGTGACAGACAGATAGATGCTGTGAGCTGTGTTAGCCAGAAGTCCAGTCAAAGGCAGGGTATATTTCCTATAAAATACCATCTACCTATCTATCTATCACCAGCTTTATACAGACACACACTCACATGCATATCAATATCTACATATTTTGATATATTATATAGCTATACATTTATATCTATTGGTCAATATATATCTATATAGATCTAGATAGCTATCTAGATCTAGATAGCTACTTTGAGCAGTCTATAAGGTGCAAATCTACCCTGCCTGCTGATAAACTGACAGGATAGATGGATGGATAGTGAGACAGATACACATACAGATAGAGAGCTAAAGAGATAGACAGAAAGATAAAGAGATAAGAGTGTGCATCTGGGAGTACCTAATTGTTGATACAGATAAACACCTGATGACAGACAGACAGACAGACTGCACAACTGGGAGTACCTAATCGATGAGATGGCTGCACACATTGCAAGAGAGAGATTCATCTGTGATCCTCTCCCTCTAAACCCAGGTGGTTTCCAGGAGCCCGAGAAGACTAACACCCCACACATCTGTCACAACTCCCAGCGGGCCAGCCACTGCACTGCCTGACAGCAAGCAGATGACAGCCAGGTCACCCGGAGAAAAGGGTGGACCCAGAGCAGTCTGCTCCCAAGGCCATGATGGAGCCCAGATTTTAATTCACCCACAGGCTCTTCTCCCTCCTGACAGGATAAAACCAGGCAGAAAAGGGACCTCAGTTGCATTTGCATCTATATTGAGATCCTCTTGGCATGGCCTAAGCATGAAGGGGATTGAACTGGGGCTTGGGGTCGGGGATTGGGCTTTGCAAATGCTTTTGATGTCCTGTTTGAAAAGAAGCCACTTGCCATTGGGATAGAAATGGGTGCTGCAGAGCTGGCCCTGGGCATTCTCCACCGGAAAGTTTCAGCGCATGTTGATGGCTGAGCACCTACCGGCCAACTCAATGGTGCCAATGCTGGGTGTGGTGAGAAGGAGACAGCACGGGTGTGTGGATGTGAGCTGGGAAGA